TTTCTCTCTACATTACTTTAGTAAAATTCATTCAAGTAGCTTATACCTAAGAGGTGTTGCTTTGTAGAACAGACTCCCAGGAGGATGCTTTCCAGACCACGACAAGCTTAACTTCTTAAAGTCTATAGTTAACCATTATCTTTCACACGTATCTGCATAAACTGTGCCCGTTAGCCTTACCATTCATACAACAACCACCTTCAGTATACCTTTATCTTGAGTGTCTCTTGGGCCCTGTATAGAGTGAGCATTAGTAAGAAAAAAATATAGTATCTATGCACTATCTAGGATTCAAAATCTAATTTTATCAGCTTTCTCATTATTTTTAAGGAAATTTTAATTCTGAATTCAGTTGGAAAGATACTGGCTTCAAATAATATGATTGAACATCTCTTTTTCCCACAATTTTTTCTTATTTTCAATTTCTCTTTATCAAATTATTTCTTTTTTAGTTATGTTGTTTCCTGTTAATTTGTGTCTGCCCAAAGCAAGAACTTCAAATTTTTCTTTTTATATTCTGATGTCTGCTTGCGTTGTCTTCTTTCTGCCATTTTGTTTTACCCCTGTTAAAACTCATTTGTACATTTTGATTTCGATTTCACTGTTCTTAAACCTTACTATTGTCTTTTCATATTTTTCTTTCTTTCCATCTTTTTAATTTTTTTTTGACTTTGTTTCTATTTTCCTTCCTTTTAATCTTTTCAGCTCTTTTTTTATACCTTTCCTTTTCAATTTTTCTTCCTTCTTTTCTTTCACTCTTCTTTTTCATTTTTTTCTTCTTTCCATCATTTCTTGCTTTAGTCCTTGACATCTTTTTTCTTTCTTGTTTTTCATCTTTTTCTTTCTTTCATCCTTTACACTATTTCCTTCTTCTTTCCTTTTCATTTTTTTGAGTTATTTCTGTTTCATCTTTCTTCCTTTCATCTTTTGTCATTTTTCCTTCTTTTCATCTTTTATCATTTTTCCTTCTTTTCATCTTTTGTCATTTTTCCTTCTTTTCATCTTTTGTCATTTTTCCTTCTTTTCATCTTTTATCATTTTTCCTTCTTTTCATCTTTTATCATTTTTCCTTCTTTTCATCTTTTGTCATTTTTCCTTCTTTCTATATTTCTTTTATTACTCTTTCATTAAAACCTTATCCTTTCTACCTGTGCAGTATCCAGTTTTCTTACACAACACCTCCCATCATCAAACTCCGATATTCAAGACCACACATTTCTCAAACTATTTTTGTGTGCCAATTCTTCAGATATTTCTTGCTGTTCTTTCTTTCATCCGCCCTCTGAAATCCTTAACCTTTCTTCATCATTTACTCTTTTTTTTCCTTTCAACTATTTTCATTTCTCTTTCTACTGGAAGGCAGAGTGGAGGGCATTAATCATTTAAGGAATGGTAACCAGAACTGGAAATCAGTTGAGGTTAGGGTCAAGCAGAGGAAAGAACCAGTGACACTTTTATCCTTCCCCAAGGCAACACAATGCTTCTGGGTTTCAAGAGAATGCTAATCTCCGAGTCAAATTAATTTTTGCCCACGGTTTTTAGTAACCTCGCCTAGTGAGAGTGGGCTTGACAGAAAACACAAATGCTGAGGTTGAAATCTGCCATGCCAAAGTATCGAGTCAATATGTCATTTTGGCGTCCATGGAAAATGTCAAAGATGACCGTCATTAGCATCTCCGGAAATTTTCTGTTCAAAGAGATAAAGGAAGTGTCTGTGCCATTTGATTTGGACATGGATAAACGCTCAAAGGTTATCCACTGGAAGCAAAGAAAAATGCAGTGACCCAAACGTAAATTAAAACATAATTGAGCATAACTTTAGCTAAGGTTCTCCTGAAATATCTGAGTGAAACCCAAACATAAGCAACATCCAGAATGGATATGACATAAATCTTATATCTATCTTTCTTACATATATATATATATATTTATATATATGTATGTGAATGATAAAAATAGTTTTATAGTATGCTATATTTATAGGTAAAAGTGCTGAATATCAGAGATAGCATGTATGTGAAATATAAAGATGGCCATTGAGGTCAACACTGAGTGGCGAGAGTCTGATACGCATTGAACTCATTCTTCAGTCCTGACAATTATGTCATCCCTCAGTGTTGACCACAGTGTCTACACATTGTGTGTGTGTATAAAAAATTCAGTTATAATTAAAAATATATCTGTAAAAGTACATTATGAATAAAGACAAAGGGAAAACGTTTCAGTTAGACTGATGAATATTTCTGCATGTTGAAAATCTAACAACATTTCTACTTTTGTTTATAAATACATGCTGCAAAATAAAATCCTTACATTTGATTTGACAAAGTCAGTAAGAGGCAGAATGACATTGGCTAAGTTGTGTTGTCTCTCTCTCGCTTGATAGTGTGTGTATATAAATATAAATATATATGTGAAAAAGTGTGTGTATAAACATATATATATATATATATATATATATATATATATATATATATATATATATATATATATATATATATATATATATATATATATATATATATATATATATATATATATATATATATATATATATATATATATAATTATATATATATATATATATATATAAATAATTATATATATATATATATATATATATATATATATATATATATATATATATATATATATATATATATATATATATATATATATGAATATATATATATATATATATATATAATAATTATATATATATATATATATATATGAATAATTATATATATATATATATATATATATATATATATATAATATATATATATATATATATATATGAATAATTATATATATTTATATATATATATATATATATATATATATATAAATAATTATATATATATATAAATTATATATATGTATATATTTATATATATATATATATATATATTTATATGTATTATTATTATGTATATATATATATATATAATTATTATTATCATGTATATATATATATATATATATATATATATATATATATATATATATATATATATATATATTATTATTATATATGTATATATAATTATTTATATATTATATATGTGGTACTTATTAATCCAAAATTTTTAAAAATTAATCAGTTTGTCTGATGTTTGCAAAAGCATGAAACCCAGGGTCACAAATTCACATCAATCTAATCAAAAATATATATATATATATATATATATATATATATATATATATATATAGTGCTAATACCCTTGGGAAAGGTATGAATCCTCTTCTTCTCCCTCCAGCTATGGGTAAATAGCAGGATAGACTGGGTTCTATAGACTTGGATGGCAACTGGTCTAGGAGAAGGACAACTCTGAATTCAAAACCTGCGGAGGGTCGTTTGGGGATCTTGTGGCACTTAGTGCACCAGGTCTCTGTAATCAGCCCTTCAAAAAGTGTGGATGGTCCTGCACGAAACCTTCACCGCTATAATCAAATCTCATGTTCTGTTGTCGGTCTCTCAGTTTCCTTGGAATTGATCTCCTTGACCCTCATACATCGAATTCGACAGGAGAGTCGAGTATATATATATATATATATATGGATGATATAACGATATGTAATTTTGGATAATTTTATATGTCAGCAAACAGTATTTAGAAAAATATGACAAACCGGAAATTTTTTTGTGATGTGTTCCATCCGTTAGGATTTCATCGTATTGGGTCTTGGTAATATTACCATGTTTATACATGTGCACAAAACGAGAGACAGAGGTAGTTACAAAAGTTTTGAAAGAATTTTTTTCTTACTTTCAATCTAGCTGATTTCAATCTGGTAGATTTTATATTGTCACAGTGTGGGATAATCAGGAACAAAAGTGATGGAGTGATAAAGAAAAAGAATACACATGATTTTGGTTAAACTAAAGATATATATATATATTGTACATTTACGTAGCATATTTTCATTCAAACAGGTTTGGTTAAATAATTTAGACATATCATGTTGATTAGTTTTTATTTTGATTCTTTCTAGTTTGTGGATTAATTTTTGTGTAGATTTAGAAAATTGCCTAAGAAAAATACCAAAATTTTCTTTTGAATATTTTTTATTTTCCCCAAGTACATTTAATCTCACCTGAGACCATCCTCAAGGACACATGAGCCAGTGGATAAAAGTGTTGGTTGAATCCAGTAACTTGACCCAAATAGTTATGAATTAAACACCTGGCTACAGCAGAGGTAACTAAAGGGAGATAACTGATACCGAGACAAGAGGAAGAGGCATGACATGTGGAACTAGAACAATCTACCCTGCTAGATGAAATAAAATGTTCAAAATTCCAATCATCATCAGAAGGCTGCAGCGTACAACAGTCGAAATATCATGAATATTGCAACAAAGACGAAAACAACAATCCAAATAATGTATATAGACATGTAACGAAATACAGAGAACCCATATAGCCAGTTTTCCGTTACAACACACTATTTTTTTCCACATTGATTGGAATATTTCTCTTAGTGCTCTTCATTTTGTGGATTGCTGCATAGAGGCACCCAGAATGTGGCATATTGCACACATCCATGTCACTATTGCTGAAATGCATTTCCTACCACCTGTGTTCATATCCACCATTTGGTCTCTATGAGTGTTCAGAAAGTGTTGATAAATATCATGGTGTGCATTTTTTAAAATGGAAGAACCCAGTGAAACTGCTTCAGATACACTTTCTTGTCAGACACCATTTTACTGGATTGCTGTTTAGCTGTTATTTTACACAAGGTAAAAATAGTATAGTTTATTCGAAAAAGAATTACCCTCTAGTTCTATATCACCAATATCCGCCTCTCAAGTCATGCGATGGTGGTAATATTTTTGTTGTGATTCTTGTAAATTACATTTTAATGACAAAAAGTGACACGTATAAAAGTCACCAAGAGATTTAAAATTCCAATAATTTTCTACTTGTAAATTATTTCTATAGATTTATTTTCCCAATGTTGATTTAAATAACTGATGTAAATAATAATAGACTAGAAAGAAAGAAAGAAAAAAAGAAAGAAAGAAAGAAAGAAAGAAAGAAAGAAAAGAAGGAACAGGATAAATAAAAAAGACAGTGAAAGAAAAAAAGGAAAGAAAGGGAAAGAAAGCAAAAGGGAAAGAAAAAAGCAGAAGGAAATAAAGAAAAAGCAAAAGTGAAAGAAAGAAAAAGCAATAGGGAAAGAAAGGAAAAGCAAAAAGAAAAAAGAAAAAGCAAAAGTGAAGAAAGAAAAAGCAAAATGGAAATAAAGAAAAAGCAAAAAGTGAAAGAAAGAAAAAGCAAAGAGAAAGAGAGAAAAGGCAAAAAGGAAAGAAAGAAAAAGCAAAAGAGAAAGAAAGAAAAAGCAAAAGGAAGAAAAAAGGGTCAAACTGAATAAAGAGAAAAGAGAGTGAAAGAAAAAGAAAATTGGGAACAAAAAGAAAAGAGAGAAAGAAAAATGAAAGAAAGAAAACAGTAAAAAGAAAAAATAAAGAAAATGGCATACTGAATAAAGAGAAAGAGAATGAAAGAAAATAAAGAGTGGAATAGAAAAAAGAAAGGCAAATGGAACAGAATATAAAGATAAGAGAAAAATATTTTAAGTAAAAACACGATATTGTATACTGAAACCTTTTTATTGACATTTGGGACAGGATATATCACTTCCGAAGAACGACTTTAATGGGGAATTAGAAAGAAAAACAGTCAGCTAAAATGGAGAAAGAAGAGAAATATGAAGAAAGAAAGAAGAAGATAACAAAACAAAGTCAGAGAGAAGAGAAGCAAATAAAAGAAAATAAAGGAAAATTACAAAAAAGAAATGGAGAAAAATGCCTAAAAAAATAAATGTGGGGAAGAATAAAAGAAATATTAAAGAAATTTAAAAATCAGAATTAAAACAATAGTAAAAAGGCATTTTTATGGCACAATGCCCAAGTATTTGTTCTTTGTCTAAGGATTATCTCCCTAGCCACTTCTATTGATGACGCTTGTCATTGACATTTTAATCTCTTTATTCCCTTTTGATCACTTTTCTTGCACGATTTGTTTGCTGACAATATATCTATTTTGCAATTATTAATGGTGACTTGAGCGGATTTTGAACGTCTTCAAAAAATAGCAGTTCAAGAAATTAAGACTAAAGGAAAATGAAAAAAAAAGTCATAATTGAAGAGCCTTCTAGTGATAGTAAAAAAACAATGGAAGAAGGAGGGTAATCTAAAGCAACATAAGATTTAGTAGAAAGTAAAAGACATAATAAAAATCAGGTGGTCTTATTAATCCCTTGATAACCTTTTAGCCCCACGCAAAATTAATTATCCATGACCTAGACAATCATCTTGGTCATTCAAGGAATTTTTCCAGACAATGGAGACCTACTTGACAGTTGCACATTGCACTATTTTACTTGGCATAAGCATTAAGGAATATAATCCTTCACTTAATTTACTGTATTTTCTGGTGTCGGAGTTAACTCCTCCTTCAGTTCGTAACCCTTTCACCAGGGGTCTCTCTTTCCTGGCTATAAATAGCCAATGACCCTTCGCCTCGATCTCTTTTTTTCCTTTCAGGCCTGTGCACCAACACCTCGAGGTAAATTTCTCTTATTCCTAGAGGATTTCAACTATCAACCTCGAAATGTAGTCGCTAACAAGGAATAGCGTGGAAACACGCTAAGCACAATATACACACACGCACGCACACACAGAATATTCACACACACACGCACGCAGATACAGAATATTCACACACACTTCGTCCTTTGTACTGTTTCCATGTATTGTAACTTGTCAATAATATATATTTGTATATACATATATTATCGGTCTTGTTTTGTTTGCTTTCTTTTCCTTCTTCTTTGGACTTAATCAAAGTCCAACCTTTTTATGTAGTTGGCCTCGGCGGGCAGGAGTATCTGAACCTTGCGTTTCTTCTACGTCTGACTTCTATCAACAACATAACAGCCACGCCATGAACTCTCAACAAACCGTAACCGCCACGGGCCCACTACACTGGTATCAAAGTGGTTAATTTTTTCACAAAAAAGTATTGAAAATTCACTTAGAGTTCTACAGATGAAAAATTAATTCTTTTTCATTTTAGTTAATTTTAGGTTACTTCACCATCTCTCAAAATTTTGTCATGTTAAATTATTAGTATGTATCCTTGGCGCTAAAAAAATATCATGTTGCAGATCGGAAATAACCACAACAAAGAAAAAGGCGATAAAGATTTTTAACATTATTTACATTATTCGGACTATTGTCCTCATCTTTGTTGCCATATTTATCACAACGTTTCGGCCGTTGTACACTCCGGCCTTCTTCAGGTGGTTGGAATGTCGAACTGAACCCTTTATTTCGCTCACTGGGGTAGACTGTTCTAATTCCACGTGCCATGTTTGATGGATGTCAGCTATCAGTTATCCACTGTGCCATGTGTCCTCAAGGACACATGACACAGTGGATAAAGGCGTTGGTTAGATCCAGTGACAAGACCCAAAGAGTGTGAGTTCAATACCCGGTTAAGTCAGTGGAGAACTTTCAGGGGAAAATTAACAGGAGATAACTGATAGCTCGCATCCATCAAACATGGCACGTGGAACTAGAACAGTCTACCCCAGTGAGCAAAGTAGAGGGTTCAGTTCGACATTCCAACCACCTGAAGAAGGCCGGAGCGTACAACAGCTGAAGCGTTGTGATAAATATGGCGACAAAAATGAGGACAATAGTCCGAATAATGTACATAATACCTCATCTCAGAAATGTGGACAGACTCTGAAAGATTTTAAATATGAAAATATAATATATTTTTATTTTCATGTTCTTACAACAAATTTTTTCTCAGCATGTATGAATGTTAAATTTCCTTGTTTGTAGTTGTTTGTTAAGATGAAAAGAAATGTGATTTTTTCTTCTGTATATGTGTGAGACAAGGGAGAAAGGGTGTGGAAATTGTGTCATGAAGCTTGGTGAGGAAGAGTGTAAGTGTCACAAAGCTTGGTGAGGTAGAGCGTAAGTGACACAAAGCTTGGTGAGGAAGAGCATAAGTGTCACAAAGCTTGGTGAGGAAGAGTGTAAGTGTCACAAAGCTTGGTGAGGAAGAGCGTAAGTGTCACAAAGCTTGGTGAGGAAGATACATGAAGGAGTAAGGGAATTTCGTTTTAATCTGTTTGTTGTATCATGCTGCTCCCTCTCTTTACTTCTTGTCTCATCTGATGACTTTGCTTTTATACTGTTCAAAGGGATCTTGAAGTATGTTTTTATTATTGGCAAGAACACAACCAATTGGTTGAAAAATGTTAAATATTTATTTTCAAAAGATTAATTTATTAAATGAAAGGTTCCTTCGACTCAGAAAGAATTTTTTGTCATTTGATGATGAACTGTTCTGATGCTTATTTTTGTCTTTGCTCCATAACTGTATGAGTATAATTTAGTTTCAAATAGACTGGGTGATTGGATGTTTTTAAAAGCCATATTTAAATAGATTTCAATAATGAAAATGTTTGTCTTAGAATTCTTGCAGACTAAACTAAAGAGTAAGAAGAAATTTCCTGAAAATTTACTAACAACAACTGGTTGGAATAAAGATGTTCCAGGTTGATTATCCTTCAGCTTGTCAACTTGAAACTAAAAAATACTCATTATAAACAAAATAGTCTGTTTAATGACAGGAAAATTCTAAACAAAGGACACATTCAAAGTTTTGTCGGTCGTTATCGCGTGGTAATTAGTTATGGCTTTTAGCAAGAGGAGGAAAATCAAACTTCATTTATAAAGTGGTGTGGCAGAAATAACTCTCACATATACATCCCAGAAATACATGCCACATAATGGTTAGACATTAGAGCAATGGTGTCTTCATTGAGCTAATGTCTTACCATTATGTGGGATGTATTTCTGTCAAACTCTGTATATACCAAAATCGAATGATAAAGAAAAAGAGACGCCAAATGTAAATTTAAAAATAATATTATAATCACCTAAATCTAATATTTTGAGCTAATCACATTAAAGAAAAAGTTCAGATAATGAAGGCGATATTGGCTCACATTTTGTAGGTAATGAAGTCACATTCCAACAAGCTGGTCAACATAACAACCACATAGAAATAGCTGTTAACAATCAGCTTGAATGATTGGTTATTTCACCAGCATATCAACCACTATAGACATTAATGCCTAAATGGTATTAATATCTTGTACTATTTTGTTTTTTTTTGTGTATATATTTGTGTATTCTAGGTTCCATTTTTATACTTTTTTTTTTTTTTTTTAAGCATTGTGCCCCAAGCAAGGCGTGAAGCCACTAGGATGCAGGGGGTTGCGGAAGATTTGGAGCGAGAGCAGATAAGAGTGATAGGAGAAAGGAAGAGGAGAAGGATAGTGGGTAGATCAAGGTAATTGGAGATATTCGATTGACATTACATTTGAATAGTTGGAGATTATAGCTTTCAGGGAAACAGTAATTGGGGAGGGTGTTCCACTGGCGAGAGGTGCGAGGTATGAAGCTATTGGAGTAGAAGAGACGGCTACATTTGAAGGTTTCTACGGTGTAAGGGTGGGAGCGGGATGCCAGCCTCGTAGAGCGCTTGAATTCATGGAGCCTGGGAACCAGAGAGAGCAGCTCATCAGAGCAGTTACCATGGAAGTATTTGTAGAAAAGACAGAGAGAGGCGACGGCGCGTCTCTGAGAGAGTGACTGCAGACAAGACGCTAGATCAGGGCCAATTAGATTACATATCCGTCTCTGGATCTTGTCAAGAACTCCGAGGTAAGCAGAAGGTGCTCCAGTCCATATATGGCAGCAATACTCCATGCAAGGTCGAATGGTTGTTTTGTATATTTGAAGTATCGATTCAGGGGAGAAAAATTTCCTGGCGCGGCACAGAGAGCCAACTTTCCTCGCGGTGAAAGAAGCAATTGACTCAATGTATTTGTTCCATCTCAGGTCAGCAGTCAGCGTGAGACCGAGCAGACGCAGGGAGTTGCTCTCAGGAAGTTGACTATCAGACATTTTAATGGGGGACAGGGAAGGATCTCTATGGTGGTTAATTGAGAGTAATTTAGTTTTTGTGGCGTTAAAGTTGACCAGCCAATTCTTGCTCCAGTTAACAACCAATTGGAGGTCCATTTCAAGACGCACGGCAAGGTTAGTTTTGTCGCCGACACTAGATTTGTTTTTGAGGCAGGAGTAAATTGAAGTGTCGTCTGCATAGATGCCAACTTGGGAATCTATAGCTTCAGGAAGGTCATTGATGAAAATAAGGAAAAGAGTGGGGCCAAGGATGAAGCCTTGGGGCACACCTGCGTTCGTGGGATAGGAACTGGAGGAGAATCCGTTGAGAACGACCTTCAATTCTCGGTTAGACAGGAATGATTGTATTAGATCAAACAGTTGACCAGTAACACCATACCCCTGGAGCTTACGAAGAAGGCCGGCGTGCCAAACCCTATCAAATGCTTTGGAGATGTCGAGGGCCACGGCACGAGCCTCACCGTT